TAGAGCATGTGCAGTTTTGGATTGGGTTCCCTTTTTGTGCCGTGTGCTTAGTGGCTCTTCTGGGAAACGTTGTCTTGCTGGTCATCATTCCAGCAGAGCGCAGCCTACACCAGCCTATGTACATCTTCCTGGCTGCTCTGGCAGCAACTGACGTAGGACTCTGTGCAGCCATTGCTCCCAAGATGTTGGCCATCTTTTGGTTTAGATCCTGCTCTATGACCTTTGATGCTTGCCTCGCCCAGCTGTTCTTCATCCATGCCTTACAGGGCATGGAGTCTGGCATCCTGCTGGCCATGGCCTTTGACCGCTACATTGCAATCTGTGATCCTTTGAGGCACACATCCATCCTCACACCTTCTGTCCTCGGTCGCGTGATAGTGGTGGTGGCAATTCGAGCAGCAGTGCTGGTTGTTCTCTTGCCTGTTCTAATCAAAAAGCTACATGTTTTCCATTCCACAGTCATTGCCCATTCTTACTGTGAACACATGGCTGTGGTCAAGCTGTCTGCAGAAGATGTCCGAATCAACAAAACATGTGGTCTTTTTGTGGGTTTTACCATTCTGGGATTTGACATGATTTTTATTGTTGTATCCTATGTCTTGATTTTTCAGGCTGTGTTTCGTCTACAGCAAAAGGCGGCACGGCTCAAAGCAATTAATACATGCACAGCTCATATTTTTGTCTTTCTTGAGTTTTATATTCTTGCCTTTTTCTCCTTCTTTAGCCACCGTTTTGGGCATGTTGCTCCCTCGACCCACATTCTTCTATCGACCATCTACCTCCTTGTGCCACCTGCACTCAACCCTATTGTCTATGGTGTAAAAAATATGGTAATTCGTAAGCGTGTGGCACAGATCTTCCTATAAATCATGGATCTCAGCAATGATCCATCAATCATTTATGGCCACAAAGAAGGTGCTCTTATTTGCTAGAGTTGGAGACAGTTTTAACTATGGACTCATTGTTCTGATTTCACATCATCAAGCTGGACCTTAAAGGCATTCATTTCCAAAGGTATAAATAGGTTGACATAAAACATATATCAGGTTTTATTTGAATATATTAGTTTTCCAATCTAATCTTTTTTAATTTACTTTTTTATTTCATTTTATTTTATACATTCAGTCACATTATCTAGGTTTCCAAGTGAATATTTCAACATGTGAACATTTTCCCTAGTCCAGTTGATAAAACTATAAAATATCTTCAACAGATCATACCACATATCTTTGTCCCATTAATGCTTTGCCTCTGTAATATAATCTAATCTTTATTGTTTGTTCTCTCTTATTTTCTTTGCATTGAATTTGCAGTTCTTTGCTTGTTGATAATAAATGTTCATTAAATGATTTTCAAAGTTTTTCTTTTGGGATACATGTATTTTCATCAATGAATTTATTAATCACTACCTTTGATGCATTCCCCATGCTTTGACATATTGTATTTTCAGTCTTATTAAATTAGAAAAAAAGTCAATATTCACTGTGACTTCTGTATTAAATCATGACATATTGAGTTATGTGCTGTTTGATTAACAAATATTTAAGTATTTTTGATAATTTTTGCTATTTATTGAGTTCTAGTTTAATTTTATTGAGATCATGAATATTGTTTTAGCTATACGTATTTGAATTGTATAAAAATTTGCTTTTTGTCCCAGTAAAAGATTTATTTTTGTATCATTAAAATGAACGTGTATTATGAAGTGGTTTGTTTAATGGATGCATGTGTAAGACAAGTAAATTGTTAGATAGATATAGATACATACAAATCAATGGTATTAATACCTCAAGAAATAAGAAAAAGAAGAAAAATTAAACATAAATAGAAAGTTGGAAATGATAATAATTAAACTGGTATAAATTAAATATTAAACAAATAATAGAATATAACTACAAAATCAGAAAGAGAGTGATATAAAGCAAGGAGTGAGAAAATACAGATCATTGACCTGAAGAAAGAAGGAGCCTCTCCAGGCTCCTGAACCATTTACGTATTACTACATAACACAGACGTTAAAGCATCAATAGTAGAATATGGTAAAAAGATGCATGCCAAGGAACACAATAATGTAAATAAACCAAAGAAAATTCTTTTTTAAGAGGGATTATTTGTTTAATTTATTATTATTGTTATTATTATTTTAATTTGCTATAGGACACATACACTTACAAGAGAGAAACAGAGAGAGGAAGAGAGAGAGAGAGACAGTGAGAACGCAAGCCACCACATATGGAACTCAAACTGTGGTTGGCCATGTGGAGTTCATCACCTCAATCAGCACTCCACCTTCTGGCCCCTAAATTAAGCATGATTCTTGAAAGACATAAATTTCAAAAATTCAAAATAAAGAAACAGAAAATCTCAATAGCTCTATTTTGATAAACAACTGAAGAGTTTAAATTTAATTTTTAGAAAGATAACCATGATTTCAATGCACACAATACACTGGATGTAGTACTTAAAAAACTGCAAGATATAGTAATTTGAAAACTTGAGTAAGAACTGTTAAAGTAGTCCTAGTGGGAAAATATAGAAATTCAAAGAATGGTATTTAATAGAGAGATGTGCAAAGTAAACACAGATACTTACCTCCCTGAAGTTCCTGGAGTTCCCTTTAACTCTGCTCTATAAGCCATTTTTCCACCGGTTTGCAGTTAGTAACACCTTGTGTCAGTATTGTTCATTTGTTACAATGAACCAATGAACAAATCTACATCGATACATTGTTATCACCCAAAGTACATGATTCATATTAGGTGTCATTCTTTGTGTTGTACATGGAAACACTGTAGTTTTATCACTTTTTTGTAAGCCTAAGAGTTTTATTTAAAACTAAGGCATATTCATAACTAAAATTTAGGAATAAAAAATAAGTTGTTTGATTAAAGTGAAGGTAAATAGTAAGAAATGAAAGAAGATGCATAAAATACTATACGAATTGTAAATCATTTAAAAAGTAATCACTTCAATGAAATCCAGCATGTATTTTTTGAGTGCCTCTGGAGTAGTTTCCATTTAATGCAATTCAAGAAGTGAAAGAAGAAGCCACATTTTTTAAGAAAAAAAGTTTAGTTTCACATATAAAATATTTATATTCTTTATAACTTTATTGTCAATATTGCCAGTAGCTTAATCATCAAAAACATTAAACTGAGTTTTTTGTAATAACAGACTTCCTTCTTACAAAAACTGACATATTTGAATAAAAGTCAGTGGGTCTTGGTAATAAGCTTTCAAGTATATAGAGTGTTGCATGTAGTTGCTTGTGTTTTTAGGAGACTGTGATGAAGGTTAAAGAGAACTTATATATATATAATTTTGAGACGTTTTTGCTATAGGGCTCATGCACTTGCCAGACAGACAGACAGAGTCAGAGAGACAGAAAGCGAGAAATCACACCCCAAGGGGGATGACCACGTCGCAATCCCTTCTCCTCCATTCTCCTCTCAGGATCTTAGGCACGCACACACACACGCCCGGCATGAGTTTTAAGCCACCGGGTCCAGGACGCAAACTGCGGTCGACTACATGGGAGTCCAGCGACATAGCCATTATGCTAACTGCTGGTCCCGAGAACTTATATTAATTTAAGTAATAGACTAGCAATGGGAAAATTTCCTCTTGGTGGAAACAGAATATTCTAAGAGTCACACAGTGTTTAAAGATCTGTTGGCTGGATTATTGCAATGTTAAACTAGTCTACGTTTACTTATTAACAGCTTGTCTTGCATATCAGTTCTCGTGAATAGGTGCAAAATTAGTTGATATGTTCATAGCGTATTAAATTGGCAATTTTGTCTTCTGTAAATTATTGACAATGTTCATTAATTTTTCAGCTACAGATTCTTCATGGGGAATTTTTGTGGGAATTTTCATGGGTTTCTTCCTTTATCTGAAAGTAAACACTACTCCCAGTTGCCTCAAGGATGGAAACAACATGTGCAGTAAGAGAGCTCTTTTCTGTCCATCAAGTTCTCAGCAAGCTTGATAAAACCCAACTGCTGCACAGAAAACACATCACTTTCACAGTGTCATTGGAATTGGGCATTTCCTATTATGTTTCCATTCTTCCCATTAAAATTCAATAATCTGTCTCAGTTCTATGGGAGAATCTTTAACGTATGAAAAACAGAACAATTATGTCCTCTCTGTACTATTCTGATACCATCTCTGCAAACAATTTGAGCATTATCAAGCAACTTTTACCCTTAGAGAACTGAGGACATGGTCACGAATTTTCTTGGTCCTAATACCATAAACAATGGGGTTAAGAAAGGGTGGTACCAGAAGGTACATATTGGCGATGAAGATGTGAATTTGGGGGGCCACATTGTGGCCAAAGCGGTGAGTCAGGAAGGTAAATACAGCTGTGGAGTAGAAAACAAGGATAACACAGACATGGGAGCCACATGTGCCTAGAGCTTTAAGACTTGCTTCTCGTGATGGAAGACTAAAGACTGCACGGAGGATTAGAACATAAGACACAGCAATGAAAAAGCCGTCACAGGAGCCGATGACAGAGGCCACACTGAGGCTGTAACGCTTAGTGGCTCCTGTGTCCACACATGCCAGCTTCACCACAGCCATGAACTCACAGTAGGTGTGGGCAATGATTCGTGTTCTGCAGTAGGGAAGCTGTCTGAGCAGGATGGGGTGTGGAGAAAAGAAGGCCACTCCACGGAAAACTACCATAGCTCCCATTTTGGCAATGCGACTGTGGGTGAGAATAGTAGTATGGCGTAGAGGATCACAGATGGCCACATAACGATCAATGGCCATGGCCAGGAAGAAGCCCGATTCCATGGTAGTAAAGCTATGGATGAAGAACATTTGAGTCAGGCAAGCATCAAAGGCAATGTCCTGGGCTCCAAGCCAGAAGAGACAGAGCATGCGGGGCAGTGTGGATGTAGAGAGCACCAGGTCAGTGACCGAGAGCATGCACAGGAAGAGGAACATTGGCTCATGGAGGCTTCGCTCTGCCCTCACCACAGCCAGGATGGTCACGTTCCCCACCACTGCCACCACATACATGGAACAGAAGGGAATCCCAATCCAGGCATGTAGGTGCTCTAGTCCTGGGATGCCCATCAGAAAGAAAGTGTCTGGAGACATCAAAGACATATTGGTTAGTCCCATGATGCTGCCACCATCTGTATTTTGTGAATGGAATCTTCTTCTTTAGGGCAAAAGTTTTCTGCCAAAGTCATTACAATCAAATCTGGAAACACATAAAAAATAAACCTGGAAGATTCCCAAAGCATCACATTAGAGAACTTTGAAGGTCGCAATTTAGAGTGATACTAGATAAAACTATACAATCAGACACAAAGTACTAATTGTAAATCCAGTCCTGAATCTTTTTTTATTTTCAGCCTTTTATGCATAGAAAAGATTAAAAACCACTTTCTAAACTCACAATTTCTTTTAATCATAGCCAAATTGCCTTTTGATAGAGACATCAGATTTTATAAATGGAAAAGATCTTAGAATTTATCTATCCCAGTTTCCTTCTTAATGTTGTCCTAAAATACAATTCTTGAGCTGACATTAGAATACTGCCAGGTATAATTATTATGGTTACACATTTCTTAGTCCATTTTATGTCTGTTTCTCCTCCTCCTGTCATAGCCCCAATCCCTAGGAGCCATGAGGCAGTACTGTCCCTTACACATGGAACTCTACAGGCTTCGGTGTCTTCTGTAGTCTTAAAATCTGAGGCTCCAGCCCTGTATCCACCAGCTTCTCTCTTCTTAAAAGTGAAATAGTTCCAATTTACATAGTCATTTACTTTAAGCCCAGTTTTCAGAAATCTAAAAATATATTTTTTTAATTTGCCAGAGGGCCTGTGCCTTCACTAGAGAGAGACAGAGAAAGAGGGAGATGAAAGCACCACATCAATGGGGAGTGGTCACATTGCAATCTCTTCTCCATTTCTCCATACTGTCAGGATTTGGGGCATGCACACACTTACGCCTCCAGTGTTTTTCAAGCAGCTGGGACTGGGATTTGAGGAACTGTCAGTCACGTGAGGTCCAGCTCCCTTATACCATGGGGCCAGCCCCAGAAATCAAAGGCTTCTGTACATTACTGTGTGTATTATGTTTCTTAACTTTTGTTGCTTATAAAATACATCAGTCATGTCAGAGATTAATGTACCCAGAATCTATTTTGAATTTTACATATCATTGTAATCTTAGTTAACTTTCATCTGAAGAAAAAAAAGAAAAATAATTTTAGATGCTCCTAATAAAAAAGACATTGTTCTCATATCTTTATTTATATTTATTGTTATCTGGAAACACATTGAACTAAATATAGTTCTTTTTCCCCAATTTCACTAATCTGGAGTGTTACAGATAATGCAATGATATAATAGGAAAATGACTGAGACACAAAAATTCTAACATAACATTTAATGACAATCCAACTATTTTCATTAGACAAATTTGACAAATTTATTGTTTGTCACATGTTAAATATAGTCAGCTATAACCTATCAATATTTTGTATAATTTTTAAGGTCAACATCCTCAAGATGATTTTAAGCAAATATTTTAAAAATTAGACTTTTCACTTAAACTTGGTAAGGTGTATTATCTTAGAAAATACTTTTAAATAATCATAGTCAAGTTCCTGTTATTATTAAACATTTTTCATGTTCAGACCTTAAATTTAATCCACAATCTGCAGATTTTATAGGTATATATTCTACATCTACATCAAAGTAGCTGAAATATAATCTTGAAATAAGTTTAAGTCAATAACAATGTTTTTGTATATCTTTCTTGAAATTTTGATTTATCTTTTAAGCAACATACCCTTTGTGATGTTTATTAGTTAACTAAAGATATATTGAATTTAATAGTGATGAGATTGGAAATATAGAACGCTGTATATTCTAGTGTAATTTGTAAAGTCTAGCCAGTGTCTCATTAATTAAACAAAAATATGACTTGCATTATCGAGTATTTTGGGGTGGGTATAGAGCATATGAAACTGATTAGACATGTGGTTAAAAATATTACTAAAATTATTTGGAAATTTTCCACCTGATCTGTGCTTTATAAAATGATTATTTATTTTATACTTTTAATTATTTACACTTTGTCAGAAGGGATAAAGCTTAATAAGCCTTAAAATATAGCAACTATCTCAGCAATGCCATTCTGTTTTTTTTAATTTTCTTTCTTCTGATTTCATTGTCAATGTCAGTTTTTTTCCTATGCCCTTCTATTAAATTCACTTATTTCCATAATTAAGTTTAAGTTTCCCTCTGCTTACTATCTCTTATTTCTCAGTTACTCAGTCTATAAAGTGTATATCTTCACTACCTACTCTTTCTATATCCCCAGCAGAGTAAGAGCAAAATTCTAACTATTTCTCAAATGTACCATATTTGTAAAATTGTGAATGTTTTATACTCTTTTGATTGCAACCTCTCGCCCCCTTTTTCATTTCTTTTCACAAAATATTGCTCATCTTGTAGCAGTAATTTAGATCCCAAGTCATTTCCTCACAGACTCTTCACTGAATTACTTCTGGGAGACATTTGCACAGATTACTCTGTGTTCACATGTTCGTACATTCTTTGACATTTCTAATAGACGTCCAATTGTGACATATTATATTTACTAACATATTGTTATTATGACGTCTGTCTCACAATATCGAACTTTCCTCGGCTTAGAAACTGTAGCATAATGAGGTTATTCCTATGAACCAATCCAAAAACTCGTATGGAATGATGCTTCTTAACAGGAAAACGCTCGTGGTCGCATAATCTAGGGGCTCCAAACCATGCTGTTAATTATTGTTTGTTCTATGCCACTTCCCCAAACTTTCATCAATGCAATGGTATTTCTAGAATTTAGTTAGATTTATACAAGATGCCTATATACCAGCATTGAGACAAGTGTCCCTGCCACCTCTTTGTACAGTGAAATAAAAGAACTTTTGCTCCTTGCCAGATCTTTCTCACTGGTTTGCTCTGCCATGATTTCCAGATAGGACTCTAGGAATAGGGAGACAGCAATTCAATGAAGGTTGATTCCGAGCCAATTAATGCTTCACTGGGTTTTTTTTTTTTTTAATTACCCAGATCTCCACTTCCAGAATAACTGAACCTATTTACATTTCTCTGCTCCCAGAACATCTTTTTAAATTATCACTTATTCAGAAAAGAGCTACCCAACTGTACTTACACATGTCTATAGAGGTGAAGAAGCAGATTTTTATGCATCTGAAATTTTCTCATATATAATCATAAATTATAGTAGCTAGAGATTCAAGCACACAAGGTATTTCAATTTGTTTTCTAATACTTTGCAAACACTCCTTTAAGCACACCTCTTCACTACTCAAATAAGTGCATTCAATATCCACAGATGCATTTAAATAAATTCCCATTCACAAACACAAGTAAAACACATTGTTGCACCTAATAAAACATACTGTGATTTTTTTTCATCAGACTCATTTGTATGTCTACCCTTTTATACCCAATGACTGGGTATAAAAGTGGTAGGCAGAAAGATAAAAGCAACTCTTTTTTTTAGAAAATCTATTTGGGAGATACTTTTATGTCTCTCAAATTTCAGCGTGTCTAAAATTTTTCTATATTTTATACCTTTTCTTATCTCTAAAGATTAACTGGCTTGAATATTAATTATATCTAATATAATAATAGCTAATATGCCTAATAGAATGTAGTGGTCTGGACTGTTTCTAAAAAAAAAAAAAAAATTGGATTCCATCCCTGAAACCCACCCCCTATTTTCCACCCTCCTCTGCTGCTGTCTCTAGTATCCACAGTTGCTCTCTAAGGCTGTATACTTTCCAGTCTTTCAGTTTCTGACAGAGTGCAGACATTTGGTATATATTAACTGGTTCTGTGTAGAGCCTCTTTTTCATAGTCTATTTTGCTGACAGAGTGCAGACATTTGGTATATATTAAATGGTTCTGTGTATTGCCTCTTTTTCATAGTCTATTTTACTCCACTTAGCATTAAATCTTCCACATTCATCCACTTTATATCGAATACCAAGGTTTCATTTTTTTATTGACTGGGTAGTCCTCATAATGGGAAAATTCACTCTATATGCTATAAAGTTATAGAGTGATTAAATGTAAAAATAAGTAATAATAATAATTTTTTTAAAAAAAAAAGAAAGTGGAAAGATAGGGCTGGCTACTGCTTGTTCTTGCCCAAATCATTCCCTCAAGGAAGAGTCACACACATTTTTCACCTTACTCCTCCATATTTTTCCACCCACGAAAGGTACCGTGATTTATCAACCTCTGATGCTAAATAGAGGAAAGCAGGAATTCTCTGCTCACAGTTGTCTCTGTCCTACCTAAGCAGATTTAATGATACTTTAATTCTGATTTGGAGTAACTATGGCTCTGTCCTTTTTAAACTTTGGCTCACCAATGAGTTGACTACATAGCAGTTATTACCTCAGTCTACTTCTCCTTCTTGGTATATACCTATGGTCTTATTCTTAACTTTACAGAAGATAGTCAAAGGACTGCACATTACCTTTCTGAGTATCTCATAATTCTGTAAGTGCAGATGTTGGAATGTCATCCTCTCCTCTCTTTTCCTGTCCTGTATCTCTAACTTAACTCACACAAATTGAAAACTCCAGTGATCCACTGTCTACAAGGATCAGTTGCAAAGAAGTGCATCTGGTGAACATGACCTGGAGCTCAACTGACTCTAGATCCCAATTCACTAAAGGTTGTAGGTGGCAAGGGAATCAGTGTCCCTCTGGGATAAGGGGCCTTTTCCCAAACTAAAAACTTACCTTTCTTTTAGGGGAATAATTACCATAAACTAACTCTTAAGATAATAAATAAAGATATTATGGTTTCCCAAAAGTCTACTGCATGTTTTGGTATGGAATGTATTTGCTGAATATATAAGGAAAAACATAAAACCGTAAAACTAAGGAAATAGATTATACTCGTGTACTGAAAGACCTCATCTGATAGGTCCTATGCTGAGTGCTTAAAAATCCCTTCGCTCACTTGATTTTTTAAAACAGCCTTTGGAAACAAACCAACAAAAAGTACCACTACACAGATGAAAAAACAGAAAGACTGATAGATTTAAAGAGTTGTGCAAAGTTTTACAGCTGATAGAGTGCGACATCAGGAACCCAATCCAGATATCCGTGGTTCTGTATTTAACTTTCTTAATCACTCTTACTAGGTTTCAGAAATGGCATATGCCTGAATCAAACCTACACTCTTTGTTATCCAAAGCAATTAATTCCAATGGTTATAAGTGACAACATCCAAAGTGATTGGCAAGAGCCTTTAAAATCTGGCCCCTCCTCTCCTCTGGCATGGCTTTCAGCTCTACAACTCATCCTCAAGTTTTCAAGTCTCAGCCATTTTGGAGAGTTTTTTTGGTGCTATGTTCTTTGAAAGATTGATTCATGATTTTGCTTCTACCTCTAATATTCTTCCCCATTTTTCTTGTTTATGCCTTCCCAGTTTCCTGTTCATTTTAAGGTTACAGGTGGGATGGAGGTTAGGTGGCTGGATCCCACATGACTAACTGTACCGTTGGAGTTCTAGACCCAGCAACTTGAAAATGACTCTAAGTGTGAGTTTGCGTATGCCCTAAATCCTGAGGAGAAGGGATTGCAAAATGGCCATGCCCTTTTTGGTGTGATTTCTCATCCTCTCTCTCCCTCTCTCTCTGTCTCTCTCTCTTTGTCTCTCTTTCTGGTGAGTACATGTATCCGATAGTAGATACTAAAGGAAAAAAAAAACTAGGAAAAAAACTAAATAATAATAATAATAATAATAATAAGGTTACAGATAGAACATCATGACCTCTCTTCACCGCCGCCATTTTGACTGAGGGGAGTCGGGTTCCGAGTCAGCTGGAGGCGGTGGTCGTGGCTGGTACGGATGGTGTCGGCCCATGCTAGGCCCCTCCAAATTCGCCTGGCTTTGGGCCACAGCTCTCTGCATAACTTCACAAAGGAGAGCTATCTTGCGACCGTCCTCTCCTCTAGAGATGGCCAATGTGCTCTGTAACAGAGTCAGACTGGTTTCCTATCTCCCAGGATTTTGCTCTTTGGTTAAAAGGGTTGTCGATCCCAAAGACTTTTCAACTGCAGGATCTTCAGGTTCTGATGAGTCTCATGTGGACTTTTCGGGAAATCTTACCACACACTCAAGATGTATGAGGGAGCTATGTAATTCTCTTATAGTATTATATCGGGGAGTCAGAGGGGGGTCACTTCCCAGCAAGGCTATCACAGTCCCGGAGCGAATAGCAAGCGGCCTTGCCGACATGCTAAGTGACCCAAGCTTGTTCCAAGGTCGGGGGGCATTCAGTAGCGGCCTTGCCAACTTACTGAACTGACCGGAAGCGATGCTCAAAGGTCAAAGGGCTCAGACGGGTCCTGGAGCCCCACCGGGTTGGACTCCTCCAATCAGTGGTGCTAAGGAAATCTGCTATGCTCTTCGAGCTGAAGGCTATTGGGCTGACTTTATTGACCCATCATCTGATTGAGCATTTTTTGGAGCATATACAAACAGCACTCTTTTTGAAACAGATGAGCACTATTGGCATTTAGGAGTCTCTGTTGGTGATCTTGACTGCTATAAAGTGATTCGTCATAGTCTTTGGGGTACCCTTGTAGTTGTAGGAAGTATCTTCACTAATGCAACACCAGACAGCCATATTATGAAGAAATTAAGTGGGAACTAGCTGTAATGTCTACTTATTTGCTATACAATTGGGTTGATATATAAACACTGTCAAAGACTTCCATTTAAAAAATATACTTATCTCGCGGTATTTATTGCAACATTTACGAATTTACAACTTTGGCAAGTGGGAGTTTTGAAATCATAAATGTTCATGTTATCATTGAATACATGTTGAACTCATGCACGTTGTATAGAATGTGGTCATGAACATGTAACCAGGGTATGATCTCTTTCTGTACCTTCTCCCCTTTACTGGAAAAACCTGTTCCAATTATTTTTCTCCAAAAATAAATCACAATTTGGTTATATAAATAAAAAAAGAACATCATGACCTCAAGGGAGAGTTATGAAGAAGATGTCATTATTTTAATAAATTTTTATAAATTTGCCAGAGGGCATGGGCATTCATTGAAGAGAGACAAAGAAAGAGAGAGAGAAAGCAAGAAAACACCCCAGCAGGTAGGCGCCATATGGTGAGCTTTCCTCCCCGTCTCTCTTTTCCCTATTTCCATGAAACCTAACTGCTGCTTTGACTGGGCCCTGTGAAAATCTCATGACTTTTTTCTTATTTTACAAAACTGTCTCATGGCTGGGGCTGTTCCAGAGGTAGGCACCCCTTTCTCCCACATCACTATCATAAGATCAGAGGCATTAAATTAATATACACTGTCTAGTGATTCGCCAGCTGATAGCCTGACCTTTATTGTAGTTCTTGACATTATTTACAGAAACCACATCCTACCTCGAAGCCGGGGAGTCTATGTTGATCATACAGGTGATGTATACACTCTTTGATCTTAACGTGTGTAACCTGGACCTGTGCTCAATGATGGCATGGACCATTCTCCACCTGCCTACAGTAGAGTGTCCTGTCCTGCTTACGTAAACAGACTCATGTCTTCCCTTGCTGGGCCTCTACATGTATCCTGTGGGACCAGTAAATATTATGGGCATGTTCTCTAAGGTTTGGGGCTCCCCCAGTTCAATCCTCCATGGGGCATGGTCATGCTGAAATCCCTTCTTTCTCTCCTTACTTTCAGAATTTTGGGCATTCATGCACACCTGGTGTGTTTTTCAAGCCACTGGGTCTAGGAATCATATTGAATGGTTATTTATGTGGGATCTAGCCACCTTAACCACTATGACACTGAGCTGTTATTTTATTTCTTTTACACCTGCTGTGTGTCTCCCAGGTCTGAATAAGGAATTATTGCACCTCTGTTGTGTATGTTAGTTGCTAGGCCATTTATCCTCTTCTGAAAGTGTTCTTGTTTCAGTTCCTCATGATGTCACTTACCTACGTTTTCTATTTCTTCATCTCTTCTCCTCTAAAGGTCTTGTACCCTATCCTGCTATAGGAGTATCTCCCATTCTATACCCTAGATATCATCACTAATAGTAACATAAACCTTTCCACAATCTCACGTTTAGGTCATACATTTTCCACCTACTATCTCACAACTTTCCATCTGCTTCCCTCCTGTGCTGCATCTTCAAATACTCATTGTTACTTCTCACCTCAAACCCTCACTCTGCTTTAGTAAGTGTAAAATACATCAACTATTTTTTAAAATTTATTTTAATTTATTATTATTATTGTTATTCTTTTTTATTTGACAAGAGAGACAGAAAGAGAGAGAGAGAAAGTGAGAAAGCTAGCCGCCAGATCCGACACTCACACCACAGTCAGCCATATGGGACTCCAGCACCTTAATCACCACACTACTTTCCAGCCCCTCAACTTTTACATGTGCCCTAAATTCCCTTTCCTCTCTCATGTGATCATACTCTCTCAGATGCAGTCATCTTAATTAATTTATTTTGAATATGCATACTAGGTGTTCTGAAACAGAGATATATTAAGTTTAGATTTCTTATTATATATCTCATGGTAAATAATAAATACATGAGCTCCTCTTTATCCTTGTCTTTATGTGATATAAGAGATTATTTGTCCCGTAGAAGTACCTACACAGCCCATAGGCAAAGAATGTGTGCTTTTAAAGTGAAAGGAGGAAAAACCCCCACCCCTCCCTTTCCCATCATCTATCAAAAGGGTTTCCTTGTTACTAAAAAACCTTGGTATGTAAATGTATTCTCTCCAGAAGCCATATAGTCTCAGGTGTCTTGTCTTCTAACACCCAGAGATGGATTCAAGTTCTTGAGCCTCATTAGTTCTCTTTAAATCATAATACAGGGGCTAGGCCTGAAGTGTGGTAGTAATGGTGGCTGAGGTTATCTGCTGAGGTTTGAGTTCCAGACCTGGTAACAGGAGAAACATGACAGACATGTGTGTGCAAGTGTCCAAAATCCTGAAAAGAGAGATAAAGGGAAAGTGATTATGGTGTAGCCATCCCCTATAGGGTGTGTTTTTTCACTCTCCCTCATCCCCAAGGACGAGTATGCCCTCTGGTAAATTATTTTTTTAAAAAAGAAAAGGAATACATAAAACAAATGCTCCCTTAAGGACCCAGTGACCTGTTCTTGACTGTAACTTTATGGCATTTGAAAGCATAATTAAGAAGTTCTAATACACTTCATATCACAGCAGCAGTTTAATAGACAAATGGAAAATATAATTCGCATAACATGGGACATTATAGAGTTTGAGGATTTGGGGGCTGATCAAGAAAAAAATATAAGATCACGAAAACACGTAAACTTTGTGTGGGTGTTGCTTTCACAGGTGGGGAGGAGAGGAATGTCCCTCAGAGTATAAGACTGCCTAGGACCAATTAATCCCAAATGGACAAGACTTGGTCAGTACTTCCAACTTCTCTGTTACTTGTCCCTACTTTTAGCCCACTTCTAGCTTCTACATGTAAATAACCTCCATTCAAAGAATATCTGCAATATTTTAAGTGTCCCTGTTTCCTGTAAATTTTCCCAATCCCCTTGAAGACTTTGTCTCAGCTGATAATCATTGCTAGGGAGAGCTCTAAATAGTCTACCTTTAGTTGATTTCTAGGTCCATACCTTTATAAAGTTTTTCTTTGTCTTTTTAAGAGAGATTTTTGATATAGGACATGTGCACACTTACCAGAGTGTCAGACAGAAAGTGAGAAATCACTCTCCCAGGGGGAATGGACATGTAATCTCTTCTCTTCTCAGCATTTTGGACCCCCACACATGAGTCTATCATGAGTTTCAAGCCACCGGTTCCAGGACTTGAACTTCAGTTGACCATGTTATGGTCCAGTAATGTAACCATTACACCATCTGCTGGTCCCAACACCTGTATAAATTTTTTAGTGTTTTAAGTGATTATTAGTTTCATATAAATTTAAAAGATTATGACTTTTGGTTGCTTGAAATGTCTTTCATTATGAAATAACCATTACTATGCTTAGCAATGTTAACATTTTAAATACTATTATGTCCATTATTAATAGAACAATTGAAGTTTATTATTATTATTATTATTATTCACACATTAAATCGCTATACATCATTTAGATTGTGAAGAGACTTTACCCAACATGATACACACCTCAGTCCAGCCTAGTTGAGACGATTATACACATCCTCAATGATTCAGGTTTTAAAAAAAATAATTGTTTATTTAATTTATTATTATTATTTCATTTGCGGAAGGGCAAATTAAAGTTGCACTCACCAGAGAGAGACAAAGAGAGAAAAAGAGAGCGAGAAAGTGAGAATGCAAGTCACCAGGTTCAGTACTCAAACTGCGGTCAGCCATGTGAGAGCCCACTGCCTTAACCACCACACCACCTGCTAGGAGATAAAATTGTTTTATTAATTTAATTTTATATTTATTATTGCTAATGTATATAGATAAATTGATTTTTGTATATTAGTTTTTTACTCTGAAATTTGGTGAATTTCCTGTTAGCTCTAGTAGACTTTTTTGTGGATTCATTAAGATTTTCTACATGCAAGACTGTCATGTGCAAGCCTGAGATTGCTACAAGAGCACAGTCATTGCTAAGGTTAAATTTGTACTTTTCCCACATGACTATAAACCTATGTTCGATTTCAGTCTTCTCAAATTATCCTAATGTCAGTGTCATCTATTTTTTAGCATGATCATTATTGTGTATATATATATATATAGATATAGATATAAATATCTATATATATATAATGCATAAAATCATAAATATTAACAGTATCATCATTTTAGATATAATTAGTGAGAGGTAAAGTAAGTACTACTATGCTAATTTTCTACCCATGTGAAATGTGTTAAGTAATACACTTTTTAATATTTTTTAATTTTTACATTTTTTAAATTTCATTTTCTTTTATACATTAGATCACATTATTTAACTTAAAAAGTGAATATTTCAACAGGTGAACATTTCTCCCTAGTCCAGTTGATAAAACTGTAAAATATCTTCAACAGATAATACCACATTTCTTTGTCTCATTAACGCTTTGCCTCCCTATTTTTCTTCTAAATGCCCATTCTCAGACCTATTTACATCCATATATTGTGTTTCTATATCCTTTAGTCAGTCAGTTTCAGTCATAGAGTGTGGACACTCGGTATATATTAAGTGGGGACATACAATGTCAGTTTCTTTTATACATCCAATCACATATAACACTTAACTTGCAAAGTGAGTATTCCAACATGTATACATTTCTCATCAATCCAGTTGAGAATATTACACACGTTAGCTTCAACAGATAATAACCCATTTCTTTGTCCCTCTCTGCTTTTCTCCTTAATGTCCTTCATCAGTCTCTCTCTCTTCACCCACCTCTTCCCACACTGCATCTGGTATTTATAAACATTTCCTATGTTTCTATATCCTCTAGTCATTCAGTTTCAGCTATAGAGTGTGG